GAGGAGAAAAGTAAGCGGAAGGGCAGGGAAGTTAGCCAGTTCTTAGACGGGCTGGCTACCCTGTGCTGAAGAGAGGGGTGAGGGGAATAAAAGATGGTAAAAAGAAACGTTGCGACGAGAAAGAGAGAGAAAAATTACAAATAAAAAATAGCGACAGAGGAAAGGCAACACCAAAGAGTATAAGACACAAAGTCTGTCTCCGAGGCCAGTTGTCCGCAAAAAGCAAACATTAATTATGTACTCTAGGCAAGATGCAGTTATATCTATGACAAAATTTACCTGTGCGATTTGAATACCAAATGCATCAGTGGCTCCACTGTTACTTACTGATAAGAATGAAGAAACAGTAACTTCTTGCGTAGTAACTCCCCTACCCCCTTAGGAACAGTAACTGACAATTAGGTGGGCTCATGTACGAGAGGTCAATACCATCCTATGCCTGACAAAGGGACAAAAAGAAAGTCATTAAACGCATCAGCAAGATCAACCTCTATTAGTTCGATTCCTTCTTTAGCACTGTCGTAGTTCTTTCAAGCCCAGTCCCAGTTATCGAAGCGGGTGTCCTCCAAACTTTATCAGGGCGTCCTGCAGTTCAGTTGAACAGAATAAAATTATTGTGCTTCTTAGCATCCCTTAGTTGTTTTGTGACGTAGTTCCTGTATTCTTTATATGTTTTAATGCTTGCGGTGATTTAGTTTGTATAAATGAACGGTGCAACCTGTCCCTCTTGTTTACAAGCTTAAGCAGGTGCTTATCGATCAACGGTTTGGTAAATCTTTTTGTCCGTTTTAAAGGGTTCATCAGAAAACACACATAGTATATTTTCTTAAATAAATGCATAAATTTGTCATAAGCCGCATCTGCACTTTTTTCTTTATACACATGATCCTATGTGACCCTGGCATTATGTTCTCAGAATGCAGACAAAGTGATGGCATTTATGAGCTGATAAGAAAGCGCTTTATGTACCTGTATATGCTTTTCAACTGCGGTAGCAATGAATATAAACCCAGGTAAGTGTTCACTAATTTCGTATACTAAAACACCAGGTTTTACAGAAGACATCAACATTAGTTATGAACAAGTCTAATGCAGTTTCACACGTTGCCGTAACTCGCGTTGGCATTGCTATAACATTCTGACCGAGATGAATATTTAAGAAAGATCGTAGTTCTAATTTCAGCTTATTCTGGGTGAGCATATTTATGGTCAAGTCACCTAGAAGAAGTATTTTATATTTACTCGATCCACGAAAAACAACTCAGATAAGAATAAACGGTTTCGCATGCCACGCGAAGCGATAATCACTTGCATTTCTCTATTCTTTCACGTCACGCAGCAGTTTCTGATTTTGCAGGGTCACGTTTTCACAGGTTGAAACATTAGAACTCATGTTACGTAAAACTTTGCGCTTTTCGATTCATTCGTTTCACAGAGAGAGCTGTAGAAATTGGACGACGATTCCAAGTACTTTGCCATGCCGCGAAGGCAGCCTAAGTACCGCCTCTACATCTGTAGCCACCACACCTGACAAGTTCACCGAGTTTCCTTCTTCATTTAGCTTTGTGATGAGATTTCCGTTGTCGGTGACCGGTATTTCGTGCACATGAACGTTAAGCTTCCATCTGTGCCATTCAAGGTCGTTTATAGATGCAGTTAGTTACTGAATTTCGCTTAGCTTCTAATTTTCTTCGAGCTTGGCTGCTTTCTTTTTTTAAGATAGTTAATTCTTTTTCCTGGGAAGCAGTATATCAGGGTAATTTTCAGACAGTAGTTGCATTGAGGCTTTACTTCGTTGACCTGCTGTGGCAAGCTAGTAAGCATGTGCAACTTTCGAGCTATCTCTGCCAAGACGACTGAAAGGTCGGTATTTATCACCTGCGCCCTTCGCTGTATTAGCTTTTGGCGCTCTGCATAAAAGACATCGCCACGTCCTACGCCCGCTCTCGCCTTTATTATTGTATGTGACTCCACTTCAGCCAGAACAATCGCCGAGATGGTAGCCGTACTCACATTCGGAGCACTTCATGAAGCGTCCATCTGCAGGAAGGGAGTCGTTACAGGACCGGCACTGCATCTTCATTCACGAACCAAGTGCACACGCAGTGCAAAAGAGTACGAAAACGCCAGAGCACTTGACACCAAAACAAATAACACGGTGGCGGTGGTGGCACAAGATACAGTGTAAGACAAGTCTTGTCAGTAATTAACTGGAGTTTACCAACCTGCAGAGGGAAGAATGAAGATGTAAGGGGGGCGTCCTTCCACCACCACCGTCACTGCCCGTGTAAGCTGAATCAGCTTGACCGTCACGAGCGCAGTCAGCACAGCCAAGGTGAAAAAAAAAAAAACTATCCGTGACGTCAGTGTGGGCAAGAATTTTTGAAGCCGGCACAGCACATTCGTGTTGCGTCCTGTAAAGGGCAGAATAAAAGTGTAAGGTGGGCGTCCTTCCACCACCGCGGTCACCGACCTACTTTTCTGCTCTCGTAAGACAAGGAAAGCAGAAAGTTAGGTCTTAAAGTTAATCTTCAGAAAACAAAAGTAATGTAGAACAACATAGGAAGAGAACAGCGCTTTGAGATAGGTAGCAGACCATTTGAAATTGGAAATGAGTACATCCATTTAGGACAGGTAGATACCGTGGATCTTAACCATGAGATTGAAGTATCTAGAAGAATAAGAACTGAGTGAAACACATTCGGTAAGAATTCTCAAATCACGACTTGTAAAGAGCCACTACTTCTCAAAAGGAAGGTATATAACTGCTGCATCTTAACGGTACCTACCTACGGAGCATAAACCTGGAGGATTACAAAGAGGGATTAAACTTAAGTTGAGGACGACACATGAAGCAAGCACTGCAAAGAAAAATGGTAAGTGTAACCCGAAGGGACAAGAGAGAAGCGCATAAGAAAAAGAAATGGCGATGTGTAGGACACATGTAGCACGAAGGCTTGGTAATCGCTGGTCATTCAGGATCACATTCTGGATTACAAGCGAAGACAAGCGGGTCAGGGGGAGATGGAGACAAAGTTTGGTGAGCAGGTAAGATTAGGAAGTTTAGGAAGTGGCAGCAGCAAACGCAGGACTGAGCTGACTGGCGGAACATGGGGAGGCCTTTGTCCGGTGGTGAGCATAGTCAGGCTGATGATGATGATGATTATGATGATGAAGATGGTGATGTGCTCCTATGAATCAGCCAACACGTCGGGTTAATGTCCATTGTAGTTGGACGCTATTCGCTGAATATGATTTACGCAGCAGTGCTCGGAGCTACCATCCTCGCGAGCACTAGCGCTTCATATCAGCTCGCCACTTCTAGTGTTGCTAATGTCCATGATGGTGGTGGCATCGTTACGCAACTGTAAACAACTGGTCATATAAAACATATGCGGATGTTGAACGTAAGTCTGTGAGTGTATTTGCACATACCTACAGCGCCACTTCGTAAGGTCTCGCTCAATAAAAACATATTACAACACAGGCACCTTTCATCCGCATGCTTCGCATAACGTCGATTCCCAAGGTATCAGCTGATCTTTTATTATATACTTTATTTGCATCTTTGATGATTTTCAGGTCAACAGAAGACTATATTCATTCATTCAGTACCAATGACCCTACTCTGAAATTTGTTTAATTTGTTAAATTTGACCAAAATATTCGAAATTGTTAGGATACAGTTAAACGGCAGTCTTGTCTATTCGCTCAAACGCACAGTAAAACCAGCATTTCTTTCACAGATAACCTGATATTATCTTTTTTTAGGGGCGAAGCTCCTTCGGCCATGGGTCGTTCCCTCCCCGTATGTAGCAGATCCTCCCCCGTTCCCTCCCCCGTTGCTCAATAGATGGTGTTGTGTGTATATGTCTTCGGGAATAATATAACTATATGGTGTTAGTGGTTTTCACAGCATACCCACGGAGTGAATGATGATGAGTGGGGCGAAACGACCGTCCATCTATCCGTGTGTTCAACCGTCCACGCGTCCGTCCGTTCGCCCGTCCGTCCATCCGTCTGCGCTTCCGTCCATCTGTCCATTCGTGCATGCTTCCGTCCTTTCATTCGTGCGTCCATCCATCTGTCTGTTTGTTGATCCGTGCTTTTCGTCATTCATGTGTCTGTCCATGAGTCCGTCCGCACGTCCGTGTGTCCATTTGTCCGAGCATGCTCCCGTCTGTCCATCCGTGCGTGTGTCCATTCGCCCGTGCTTCCGTCCAGCCGTCCATTCGTGCGTCCGTCCGTTTGTTTGCTCATCCGTGCTTCTCTTCATCCATGCGTCCGTCTGTGCATCCGTCCGTGAGTCTGTCTGCGCATCCATGCTTCTGCCCATCCGTCTATACTTCCGTTCATCTTTTCGTTCTTGTTTCCAACCATCCATCCATCCATGCATCCGTCCATGCGTCCGTCAGTCCGTTCGCGATTTCATCCATCCATCCGTCCGTGCCTCTGTCCGTCCATTCATCCGAATGCATAGATGAATGAACACATGGACAGAGACACATACACAAGGACGGACTGATGGACGCCAGGGGTGGACGGACAGATGGAAGCGAGAACGGACGAATTGATGGAAGCATGGATGGACGGACAGACGGACGCACGGGCGAACGGACGATGCGCTTCACTTATCATCATTTACTCCTTGGATATGCTGTGATTTTTTTGTTTATTTGTTTTTTATCATTGAACATCGTTCAGTTTATCTGGTGAGTTTTAGACTACGAGTTTTTGGCGGCTCACCCAGAGAGTGCATGTACCATATAGATTTCAGTCACAAACAAACAAACAAACAAACAAATCAATGGCTGGCTACACCCGTATTTCCTAAGTTATGCTAGTGTGCTATTATTGCGATGCACTTATATGGTTAGTATCGGCTGGTTTCTGCCATCGCCGCAGCCACCACCATCATTCACGCATATGTAAATGTATGATATGGGCGTGACGGCGATGTCATGATGTGGTCTACAATCCCGATCATCTTTTTCGTACAGGTGCTGCTTCGATTTCTGCTAGTTCCAACGGGGCTGCCACCGATCGACAAGGGCCCAATAACGCCAGCCGTATGTTCTCGGCAACTCACCAAGAGAACCTGACGCCCGGGGTTCTTCATCAGCTAAACGTCGTTCCCGAACGAGCGAAGATGACGTAATCGACCCCCCAGGGGCGCTGATGGATGCATCTGTCAACGGGACTATGAAGCGGCTCTTCAGCGCGGCACTCGACAGTGGGCGCGGCGGCGATTCCATGACGCGGTCTACAAACCCGATCATGTTTTTCGTACAGGTGGGCAAACGATACGGAAAGTGTTACCATAGCAATAAAGTTTGCCTAATCTTGCTGCCACGCCCATGGTCTCTGTGCGAAATTATTACTAACATGACTAATTATCTCCGCTTCCTGTTGTTACTGAGTGGCGACGTAGAAACTCATCCAAGGCCAGTAGATGGCGATTGGTCTAAAGAACTAAAGGCAATCACGGACGCCATACAGAAAATTAAAAAAAAAATCTGCCACAAAGCAAAAGCTAAGTGCAATCGATAAGAAACTTGAAAAAAATTTGTGGATTGGAAAATAAAAGTTCTGATTGCGTAAAGCGAATAGCGGAATTAAAAAACAACATCAAAGGCATGAGCAAAACAATTGAAGAACTAGAAAACAGAAGTTGGCGGTCGAACTTTATTGTATACGGACTTGAGGAACAACAAAATAAGTCATTTCAAAAGCTTTATAACTTTGTATCGAAGACAATAATTGAAGCTACTTAAGACGTAAAGACTGCAGGTATTGAACGTATCCACCGACTTGGAAAAAACTAAAAGAGGGGAATCAAAAACAGGCCAATAATTCTAAAGTTGCCTGATTATCGCGACAAGGTCCAAATACTCCAGTCTTCTTCCAAACCTAAAAGGAGCGGTAATTTAATAGGCGAGGACTACACGTTTGGTGTGCGTGAAACTAGAAGAAAACTGTGGAATATCACGAAAGAAAACCATTATAGAGGGGAAAGGGTAAAGCTTATTTATGACAAATTTCAGATCAATGGTCATCTTTTCACTTGGGATGAAAAGCGCAAAAATATTGAAGAAGTAAAAAAAGAAGAGGAACGACCATCAACAGCAGAGTCTTCTTGACGACAACGCCCGTAACTCTTTTCAATGTTAACGCGCGAAGCCTTGCGAATGTGGCAAACCAATTTCAAACTGTTTTTATTGGCTGTAAAACCTGACATTGCTACTGTGAGTGAAACGGGGTTACGCTCAAATATATGTGACCATGATATCGTGCCACCGAGTTACACAATTGTCCGCAAAGATGAGAACACTAGAGGAAGAGGGGTAGCACTTGTTTTGCGGCAGATAATCGCTTACACGGTCATGCTGGAGGTAAATGATGTCGAAGCGATTTGGTGCAAGCTTCTCCTAAAAGACGGCTTCGTGTTCGTTGGCGTTTACAAGCACCCAAATGCCAGTGCAGCGAACCAAAATCCTTTCCTGGAATACGTGGATTTGCGCATGCTCGGTGGCAGGATTATTGTGGCGGGTGACTTCAACTCACCAGATGTAAATTGGGCCTCATTGAGTCCAGCTTCTTTGTCGAACAATATAGTGATCAACTTCTTATTTGCTTTCACTATAACTCAGCTTGTTTCTGAAAATACACGAATGCAAAGCGATCATTTTTCCGCCGATGGCAAAAGTGTTGAAAGCGTTGATGGTATATCGAATCACAGAATAGTTCTGTGTACTTCGCCTACGGCGGTTCTAATACGACAGTGTGACTCGGTAAAATATGTGCTCTCTTTTAACAAAGCAAACGATGCGCCAAAATTGATCTACCTGCCCCATGAATATCCCGATGTTTCAAAGCTATGTGCAGATAGAAATGCAAGCATAGATGAAGTATGGAGACATTTAAAAGATCATATCATGCACTGTATATCTAACTTTATCCCCAAGCAAACACATGCTACAAGGAAGCACAAACCATAGATTACCCATGACATTATTCGCCTCAAGTGCAAAATGAAGCTTGCAAGAACGACTATAAAACGCTAGGAAGTAGCAATGTAGAAAACGCTAGGAATAGCAATGATAACAACAACCTTAAAATGAAAAGTACGAAACGCAAAGCCGCACTTTTATGGACACACTCTAAAAAAGTTCATCAAGAGCGCAGACATTAAGTTCTGGCGCTACATAGACATAAAATGGACAACAGCATCAGCGTTGCCAGCTGAAAAGGGCAAGATAAAGGCAATTATTTCAATTCATACTTTCACACAGTTTTTAGCACTGATAACAGCCTAAAGATTATACCGGGTTTTCGTCACGTTGGCGAAGGCAGATTGGTTCTATCCTTAAATATTGCATCGCCCGGCATATTTTCACTGTTGTTAGATGTGGATGAAAAGAAAAGTAGTGGCCCTGATAAATACCAAAAGCTTTTCTAGAGCGCTATGCTGAACCCATCAGCAGGTGCATTCACCTAATATTTACAAAGTCAATCGATGATTGTCGTGTGCCGGTGGAGTGGAAAATCGCAAAAGCTGTACCAGTACGCTAATCGGGTGACGCTTCTGTCCCGTCCAACTACCAGCCGATTTCTTTAACGTGCGCTATTTGTAAAACGCTCGAGCACATTGTCTTAAAATTAATAACTAAGTATGTAGAAGAAAAAAAAACCTTATCTATTTTGTCTCAACATGGGAGAAGCGGGCTACATGTTTTCTGGCACTCAACTTACAGAGGCTATACACAACTTTGGGCTGGCAATAAACGAACAATCGCAAATTTACGTAATAGGTTCACACTTCTCTAAGGCCTTCGACCGCGTGTCTCACTCTGAACCCATCACTAATCTCAAACAAAAACTAGGCAACGGCCCAATAATTGAATGCTTTAGTATTTATATTTCATATCTCTACTAATCTGTGCACTATAATGGGCATAATTCCAACACCGTTAACGTTCTTTCAGGCGTCGCGCAGGATCTGTTGTCGCCCCGCTCTTGTTCCTTTTATTCGTGGTGACATTGTTGAAACAGTAAATGTTAAAATTAGATTGTTTGCAGATGACTGCATGATTTACAGTGAAATCAAAGATAGTGGCAATCAGGTCACCCTTAAAAATTCTTCAAAGAGCTTAGCCTGCAGTAGTGCCGAGATTGGCAGATGGTTATTATTTCTGAAAAAAAAAACGTTTGCTATGAACATAAGCAAAAAGAAAATCCAACTAATATTTCCATACTCTCTCGATGGTGTCACCCTTCGCACAGCAACTCAGTATAAATACTTAGGGCTTTTAATATCATCTGACCTTAAATCACATGTACAACAGCTGAAAAACAAAGGCAATGAACGAGTTATTTTTTTAAAGCAGACGACGTCACGCTACCACAGAAACGAAGCGCTTATCTCACGTTACTTTTATAAGACCCAATATTAAAATACCTATTAAATTTTTTTACCAATGGTTGAATGCCCACTTTAAAACTAATGCCTCAGCCTTCGCCATTAAAAAGGGAAAAGGAATAGTGTGCCAAAAACACCCCCAAATGTACAAAAATACCTTTGTAGCAACAACAGCTTACGTTTTTTTTTATTTTTTCCCCGTACTAAGAGGATAGAGTATGGTAGATTCAGTCACTGTAGCACAATCAACACTTCTAAAAGTTTAAAAAAGTAATGAAAATCACGTGTTCGTGTCTTGAAGTTCTGGATAAACTATATACTAGAATACGGGTGAAAGCTTTCACACTCTATGCTTTCTTTTCTTGAATCTCTTGGTGTTGTAGGCCACGTATTGTTATATGTATGTATGTTTGTAGGTTGTCTACATTGGCAAATCCCATGAATGCGACCCTTGACGTGAAGATGTTAGTATACTGTGTGCGTTTAATTTTTGGTGTACAAATTTTGTGTTTCCACTCCTGTAATGATCCCTCATGGAGGCTTCACAGTATTCTGTAAATAAAAGTGAATAAATAAACAAATACGGGGAAGAATGTTCTAGCCTCCTCTTTCTGCTGAGATAACCTCGCCTTTCCGGCTGGGGTTGTCTGCACACGCGCTTATCTCGTGAGTGAACAAGGTGAGGGGAGCGGGGCTCTTATGGTTGCCGCGCTTATCGGAGCCACGATCACCGTACACCTTGTGCCCCTATAGCAGACGAACTGCGCTCTCAACATACAAACACACACAAAAAAAGTGGTGCCAGCCGTCTTCTCTTAAGGCGCATTTACTCTAGAAACTCGACACCAATTTTGGTCTGCCGACTGTCTTTGGGAATGTCTTTTATTTTGTCGTCATATTTACATTACAATGACACAAACAGGCCACCAATGGTCTCCGGAAGACTGCGTAGGTGCCTTGTTGTGCCCATAGCCTTTTTGTCGACCAATTCTTTAATCACACTGGAGGCACACGCAGTGACAGAGACTAAACTTGCACACCTACACCTCATTTTCAGCCATGCCACCTGCTCTGTCATTGTCCCGGATGGACGGATGGATATGGCTGTACCCTTTAGATCGGGTGGTGGCTTGTGCCACCGAGCCGTGATACTTAGTGAACCGAAAACTAGACTTATTTTTTTCCCTTTAAATAGTGAGGTTGAGGATTCGTACTTTGCACTGAGGGGTTTATTCTCACTCATGCTTCGACTTTAGCCCACCAATCAGATAACCTCCTTCTAGTTACTTCTACCCGCTTAAAGTCTATTTTGCCCTCACTGTCTTTAAACCCCAGTGCTTTGAAGAACTCCACGCCATCATCCTGAACTACAGGGTGAATCCCTTTACAGAACATTATCAAGTGTTCGGCAGTTTCTTCTTCCTCTCCACACGCACTGCATACCGTGTCAACCCCTTCGTATTTGGCCCGATATGTCTTGATTCGCAATACTTCCGTCTTCGCCTAAAACAGTAGAGAACTATCCCGAGTATTATCAGAGATCCTTTCCTTGGCGATTTCCTACTTAAAAGTTTGATAGATCTCTAGTGCGGACTTCTTAATCCTGCCAATTCTCCACATGTCGGTCTCAGCTTCCTTCACCTTCTTCTTAACCGATAATTCTTTTTGGTTTGACCCCCTGCCGTTTTCTTAGTACTTACCAGTCAATTTTCTGGTTCACTTCCTCCATTTCGTATCAACATTCTTCATGTATAAGTAGCTGAAAACCTTCCTAGCCCAACGCTCCTCCCCCATTTCTCTCAATCGCCTCTCAAATTTTATCTTACTGCTAGCTTCCCTACCCTAAAATGATGTCCATCCCATATCACCTTGTACTCCCTCATTTGGTGTATTTCCGTGAGCTCCTAAGGCAAGCCTACCCATTCCACGTTGCTTAA